TTGTTCATTTAACTCGTTTTCTGTTAAACTTTTTTTAGCGTTAGGTCAGAACTGGTTGGATAAGTTTAAATGCGGCACCTCTTGAAGTTGTGTTTTGTTATAACTTTTATTTTTATAAACTCATACTGAAATAAAATCGGTTGGATATTGACGACTACTGTTATGTCTCGGTGACTGCCCATATAGAATCTTTGCCTAATTTGAGTAACTAAGTGTAACAGAAGACATTATTTTCACTACTTATCTATCTTTGAATTCGAATAATTATTGTTATAAGTGTATATCAATATCTCTTTCCAAATGGGATTTCAAGCTGAATGAAAGAATAACGATTAAACACTGTTGAATTATGCTTTCATGCTAACCTGTTCAGAATATAAGTAGTAAAAAGAAATACTTGTTGACAGTCATATGATAGAACCGTCCACTTTTTCTTTTGACATATTTGTCGTTTTAACCCTATGGGCACCAAACATAATCTCATAGTTTGTCTTATTCTGGATAACTTCTGCAACACCCAGACTGAAGGAAATAGTTGTCTTAAGGAACCACCCCCTCCCTGAACCTTTGACCTGAAGTCTTATCCACAAGGTAGTTGGACGGCGTGACCAAGATAGGCTTACACACAATTCTATCCGTTCGGATTCTGGAGCCTATTTTCACCACAGGTTTGGAATCAAGGTTTTCCAGCATGTCAACCAATCCGGTTGTAAACATCAGACGTTTGCATCATTGATATAAGAATAAAACTTGTGCACTGTGGTAGAGTGTAATTCCATTATGGGTAAATTTTATTTTGATAAAGTCTCACAGTGTTATACAGTAATATTTACTGATGACCACGTTTCGAGCACAATTTATTGCTCATAATCATATCAACGTAATCACACGACTTCTTAAATTCATTTATATAGGAATTTAGGAAGTCGTGTGATTACCTTGATATGATTATGAGCAGTAATAAATTGTGCTCGAAACGTGGTCATCAGTAAATATTACTGTATAACACTGTGAGACTTTATCAAAACAAAATTTACCCATAATGGAATCAGACGTTTGCATTCGCCCTTTCACTTTTGCGAGGAACACCCTACGGCCAAAAGGCAGTGAATGCGACTTACATGGCAGAAGTTATAAACACGTGACCACATGAGAGTATTTTGAGAAGAAAACTGAAATCTACCCACCCCTGGCCGTACCAAGTCCTTTATGGGGACATAGCCGTTGAAGTTACTAATGGTTTTAATTACGGCTTTAAAATTATGTTGTACAAAATTTCTTTATCTTATCATCTTATTGATTTCGCTGCTTTTTATTGTGTTAGTAATAATATTTCTAGCTGTTTAATAGTAGTGTAACGACAGAAGACAAGGGCCAGGCAACAGATCGTTTATTCATAAAATCAACACATATTTTTAGATTTTTATGTACATTATTATTAGCGTTATTGTTAGCAGAGAAGCAATACCCTCGGATTGTTTGTTTTCCCAATAAAGGTTATTCTGTTATCTCTTTGTGACCGTTTCTTAGAAAGTTAAGCCACATATCTGCGAATCCCACTTGCACACGATAAGTCTGCTGTGATTGGTTGGTGAGTTCCTCAATGTTAAGCTTTGTTATTGTTTCATCTCGTTGCCCCGATTCGGGACATAAACATTGACGTGAACTGTTGTCTACAATTTTGGCTAGCAGACACATCTCACCACAGTAGTACTTTTATACTACTCAAACTTGTATTTGTTTATATTACAAATTTGTGTTCTTGATTTAGTTGTGTGTCTCTGAGCTGGTTGATTTAATCGCGAAGCTCTCATTGTCTTCCTTCTAGACAACATCTTCAGCGCAGGTTTTAGTATGAAATTGACTTATTTGAATTCTTCATGAATGATAGACATAATTGTATCTCCTGACAACCATTGTCGTGATTCGTTGCCCATTTACATCTCTACCGATCATTTTTATTGACTTGGAATTTAACCTTTCTTGTCATGTGATTTATTTTTTTATTAGTTGCTAAATTTGTTCCATAGGAAATGTGTCTGCTAATCGCTTATCCTTCTGGGTATCAAGCTTTTAGAAATTTCCTGCCATATTTCGGTGTTTCCTCTATTTAAAATTTCTACATTATCCCAATCAAATTTGTATCCGTAATTATTTACATGCGTCGATGTGAAAGAATACCTATCGTGCCTTTTCATGGCTAATTTATGTTCTTAGATTCAGATTTGAAGAAGATGCCCACTTTGGTTTGCACAGTATCGAATGAAGTGATTGTGTTGGCTTGTGTGCTATATCCATTACAAACGGTTTTAGTATTCTAGTCGTTATTTCTGAAATTTTCTTTATATATGATAGAGTGAATTTTCTCGTGGCCTTTTATAATGGTTTTTTGTTGGTATTAAGACTAGAGTTTAAACAATTTTTCATGAAATTGTGAGGGTGTTCCCTCTTTTTGAAGACACTTAGTAGGTATGTCTCTTCCATTTGCTTCAGCACTGGAGTGCTACAGTGTGTTTGAACTGTTTTAAACAATCTCTGCACACAGTTTCTTCTTTTGTGAGTCTTTGAGTTATTGCTATTAATAGTTGAGTATTTGATCTGTATGCACTGATATTCTGTATACTTGTGTTTCTAAATTTCCCGTGTTAGTTCTCTTGATTAAGCCATCATCTAAGAATGGAATTTCGCTATCTGTTTCTTCTTCTCTCATGAATTTAATGTCTTCGAATATGTTGTTTATCGATTTTCGGGTGTATTTAAAATTCCTTTTTTGTAATTATTTCAAAATTTGTGATCTGTTTATTTTGAAGAGCATTCATGAAATCACATGCCTGTATATATATAGCTTCATCTGGTTACTTTCCTTCGTATAAGTGATATTTTTACAGCATTATTTGATCATTTGAAATAAAATATATGCACTTTTGAGTACTAATAATCATAAAACAGTTTTTTGTCGATCGATTGCAATCTATGTTTTTGACACATGAGAAGGGCTACTTTTTTGAAACTAATAGTTATATCAAAAACTATCATTGTATTTGTCAAAAAAACTTTTGAAAACCCTAACAACATTTGCCCTTTTGGTTTTAAAAATCCTTGATCTGAAATGTAACAGAATTTGTTTATCTATTTAGACTTTTCAGTCTTTTGTTTAAAAAAGCTGCCTCACGGCCTATTTGTGTAACGACAGAATACAAGGGCAAGGTAACAGATCGTTTATTAAGAAAATCAACTGATATTTATAGATTTTTATGTACATTATTGTCAGCGGAGAAGCAATGTCTTCTGATTGGTTGTTTTCTTGCTGAAGGTTATTCTGTACTGTTTGTGACCGTTTCTTAGAAAGTTAAGCCATATTTCTGCGAATCGTATTTGCACACGTTAAGTCTGCTGTGATTGGTTGTTGAGTTCCTCAAGGTTAAGCTTTGTTATTGTTGTTTTTTTCTCATGACCCTGATTCGGGACGTAAACATTGACGTAAATTGTTGCAGACAGCTCTCACCACATTTGCACTTTGTTTTGATAAAGGTTTTAGTAGAACAATTGTAAGACTTTTAAGCACTTGAATAACTTCTCTGAGACTTTCCATAATAATAATAGTAATAATAATAATAGCTTTATTTTAAACAGTGTTTATATCTGGTACGGAATTTTCTGTGGAATTTATTGCACAATAGTTTCTCTTTGTCCGGCATCTTCAAATAAAATATTAGTTTTCAAGTATTGTTTGTGTAGGGATTTTGTTTGATTGCATGGAGGATTTCATCATGACATCAGTTAGAGAACCATTGAAAACCATGGAGTTCTGGACAGCTGCCTCGTCCTTGACTCTTCATCAGAATTCAAGGACCATTGGATCGGTTCCCAGTGGCTCAATGTATCGAGCTCGCCTTGTAACCAGAAGGTCCTGGGTTTGAACCCCGTGGGTGTACTGCGATGAATCTGAACTGGGACGAAACACCTGTCCAGTACTCCAGGTTTTCCAGTGGTTCTCTAACTGATGTCAGCTCATGATGAAATCCTCCATGCAATTAAAAAAAATAGTAGTTGACAGTAAGTTGGGTGACACAATACAACTTTGACCTGAAGCGTAAACCCAATCCCTTGTGATATTTCTTGTTTGTCTCCTTCGAGAAATACACAAAATTTAGTTTAAAGTAAATTTAAAAAGGTGTAGGAGGACATTTTGATATCCATGAACATAACTGAACAATTCAAAATTGCAGGTAGTTAGTTTCGTTTCTCAAGCAATGACAGTTTGTACTAAAAATCTCAGGAACAGATGTCTCATATATTGGGATATACTGCCACTCATGATTTTGCTTTTTTCTTGCAAATCAGCAGGTTGCAGATATTTTAAATTCTCACTAGAGTGGTAAATACTATTAAGAGGTCATATTTTAATAGATTAACACAAATTGAACTAGCGAAATTACATACAATATATAATGATGGAGGCTTTTGATAGTTCAGGTTTTAAGCAAGCCTCCGTTTATCCAGTTTATATCAACACATTTTGTCTTTGATGACTGAAATATCAGTGATAAAGCTCATTTTGTCTAGTTTCTCCTCCATGCAGAAAGTTACTGAAATGTAACCAATTGTTTAGTGCGTCGGTGGCACAGCGCCACCACGTATGTGGTCCGGGGTACGATCCCCGGTCACCGACGCACTCCTTTACCTCGCTAAACCAGTAACAAGAGGGAAGGTTGGGCATGAGGCTAGCAACTCCATCGTGTAAAAATAAACACTGCTACAGAAACTTCAAGCCTCTAGCTTGAAGCCCTATGTTCCACTGGGAACGTAAAATTTTAAAAATCAATTGTTTCTGTTTCCAGTTAGTATTCTTTCTGTTTGTTATCAATTCTAGTATAACTGGAGAAAATATTGTAGCGGTAAAATTACGTTGTGATGTATAGTGATCACATTTTTCATCTGTTATGGCTTACTGTCATGACACTTTTTCAAAATGTCTTTTTTAATCTATTTATAATTAGATATTACCTCCATTCAAAGATTCCACTGCATTATATCCTTTGAATCGGTTGGCATTTTGGAAGGCTTTAGGTCCAAGCCTACCTGGTCGTCGACGTTTACCCACTCCTACTCCATATGTTTTCGGAGAATATTCCTGGCAACGTATACCTTACACTCCTGGCGATGATCATAGAAACAGTATTCTGTTATGGACATTTGAAAGTATTAAAAGTTGTCCCAGTGAATTTGTACTTCCTCTTGATAAAATTGCTGAACCATTTGATGTAAGAATCGACGTACTTCCCAGTAGTAAAGATAATAATTCTCAGACTGCAGTCAAAGCTAAACAAAGTATGTGCGGTTGCCAGTCAGGCAACCATCAGATGGTATGTAACCAGATTACATGTTCTTCAATATCGCCCGAAAATATCCTGTGTGAATCGCATTCTTTAAACTCTATTTTACTGGAATTATACATGAAGCATTTACCTACGCTTGAAAAAATTAATCATCAGTCTTCAACGAAAAGCATGCAGAGTCATTTTTTGAACTATTCAGCATCATATATTTCACAGTTACGTCGAATTTCTTACTCATCAGATATATCTTTTAAACCTTTTTGCCTTACTTCTACTGAGCAATTTAATTTACCCCATTGTTTCGCTTCATTTCCTTCAACTGATGATATATCTCCTGTATTCTGTTTACCGAAATTATATATTTAGATTGATTTCAACTTCTTTTTGTACATGTTTCTGTAAGTAGTAGTAAAGAATACTTTTCTATGTAAAAGTGTGTAAACCTGTTTTACTTGGTATGGTGTAACATCACTAATGTATTTCCTTTAGGCAACCAACAATTCATTTTGGGGGAGAGAAAAAAACAGGTCGTCTCCCAAAGGTGGTACATCTCAACTTACCCTGCGTTGGTGCGTAGCGTGGAGTCTTTAGTATGGATGTAAATCCAGCTGCAAACAGGTCGCGTGTGGTCGCCTTCAAGCAGATACACTCTTGAATGAAGGTGCTGGCAAAATGCTATCATCTTAATAACCTGTCTGTCTGTCTGTTTTTGACATAGAACTTTGCACATATGTGCGCCAGTTCAAGTCGCCACACTCCCTTCATGTAGCACACAAAGCAAGAGAAGAAAGTAGGAGAAATGCATAATATAGACAGTAAACAGAGGTGTGAGACAAAGGAATAGTAATAACGAAGAACAAAACAGTTTCATTGGAAATCATAAGTCACAAGGAGTGGATGCATCTGCGCCAGCCATTGAGAACGATTTTGAGCCATGTCACCAATTGTTTCCAACCATTGGTTTTTACCGTCCCGAGGACCCCAACCAGGAAGTCTACACCTTCCTACGTGGCTTAGACTAACTGTTGTAGATTTCATTGACTGGTGCCATGTTTTGGTTTGACCGCCACTAGCTCTTTTCCAGCCTGACCCTATATCAGCTAACATTGCCCATTGTCGAGGAAGGCGATGACTAGGCATACGTAGCACATGTCCTAACCATCTCAGTCGATGTAATTTCACAGCCTCGTTGATTGATTTCCCCTCCTTACCTAGCACTCGATGCCTAACCTCAATATTGCTCACCTTATTATACCACTTCACACGGGAGATAGAACGCAGACACCTATGATCAAAGACAGCTAGTCTTTTCATGTCTTCTACTCTCAATGGCCAGGTCTCACAGCCATAAAGGAGGACGGAGCGGACTGATGAGCAGTACACACGCCCTTTGGTCGATAGTCGGATATCACGTCTACGCCAGAGACGGCGTAAACTGGCATATGCGAAACTAGCCCTCTGTATTCGTGCTGAGATTTCGTCAGAGATCAACCCGTTGGCTTATGGTACTTCCCAAGTAAGTGAAGCGGTCAACGTGCTCTACCACTTCACTTCCTATTTCTAATCTAGGAGTCGGTGTAGTCCAATCCTGTAACATCATCTTGCATTTGGCGGGAGCGAATCGCATGCCAAACATTCGTAGATTGCAGCTCAAGGTGTTCAGAAGACTCTGCATTTTGTCAGCGTCCTCGCCTAGAAGGACTATAATCTGGTCAAAATATGTTAGCCCGTGTCAAAATCAATGTGGTTTTATAAAACTGCTCTCCAGAAACTTTTAGTTTTAAGCTAGGAGGTAAAATAGTTGAATGTGTTGACTTCTTTATTTGTGTATGAAATTGCACCGACCCTAAGAGAATAGCTGTCAAAGTCTCATCACAAAGAGAAAGGCATGTTTGCCATTTTCCGAATTAAGTCCTATGTGACACCTACGCTGTATCCGTCTATCCATCAAAAGATGAGTGTGCTGTGCAGCAATTCCCCTTCTAAAATATTACAACTGTGTGACGTGATCATGGAAACAGATTCAGAAAGTTAAGCAGTTTTATACCATATGTTATCTCTTCGATTTTTCGTGATCGGAAATAGTTAGGTAATGTGTTCAGTTGAGTGCAAAAGATAGTAGATGAGGTTGCTAAGCTTTATGGGTTGGGATGGCTTGGACGTGTCATTGTCTTTCTCGACGAACTACGTTGGAATAGAAGAACCAAATATGGCCAGAAAAACCGTATCATCAATTCATGAAGTCTCTGATTGATGGTTTGGACGACGTAGGTGGGTGTAGACCTTTTAGTCGGAGTTCTAAGGGTGACATGATGCTGATATATGTACTACATTTGATCACTTATTCTCGTATACATCTTCGAGTTTCTTTCTCAGGTTTTTCTCTACTCATATGCATGTCAACCGCTGCAGTTCCTACGTTGATAAGTTAGTTAACCGTCATTATGCTGTCAGCTTTCCGTAAAGACAAACTGGCTTAGATATTAGTGCTACTCATTGCGTGTGGACAGTCTCTTACACCTCCATGGGTGTTTAGCACTGCACTAAAAGTGGTATAAATCGTTAATCGGAGTAAAATATTCCATTTCCGTCAAATCAAGAAACAAACTTGCAGTATGAACTGAATTTCCCTGAAAAATGATTGTCTCTAAATGCCTTCCAAAGAAATTCATATGACATTTCGGGAAAGGTTACAGTTATTGGGAGGATGATATCACAGTCGAGAAAAGAACTATTTGCACCCAGGAAGCCTTTAAGAGAGATGTTGTATCACACCGTGTGTGTAAACAAGAGACTAAGAGTTCCCCCTTGCCACAAGTTGTCCGGCAGACAAGCTTGTTCTTTTGTTTACAGCACTAGTCGTGCACTTCATTAACCGAAAGAGAAGAAGTACCCGTCCTAAGGTACTCAGTCAAAATAATCTCGATGGTTCTTTTAAGACAGGTGTTATAATGTACAGTGACAACATTGCCGTGTGTTCGCTGCAGGTGCCGTAAAACATACGTAGTTATCGGTCAGTGTTGTACGATTTCATATATGCCCTTCCGCGGAGTATGAAGTTTGATGTGTGAGCCCACAAGAACCGACAGTTGATAGAGATAAACTTAGTCACCTACCGAATAGGTGGGTACGCTCGTCAGACGACCATATACTGGTGTTCGCTAGAAGTGGGTTGGTAAGCTCACGCCAGTTAGTAAGCAGATTCTAGTCAGTTGTGGAGTCTTCAGGTGTAAGAGATACATACCCTCCTTCTGTAGTATTCGTATCTGGATTCTAACTGTGACGCACAGCTCGTCACCAAACAGAAGCAAAGTGGTGGGATTTCCCGTAGAGGAGTGTACTGATGAGCGGTTTGTCGGCAGACACTTAGGTGGAACATCATCCTACGTGTTTTCAGGTGTTTGACGAAGGGAGACACCGAGTATGTCCATGATAATTTTTTTACCGTACTCCACAAGACCGTTCCCTTGTGGCTGGTATAAGATAGTGTGAGTTTTCTGAGTGTCAAAGTTACCACAGACTTGTGCGGTGAGTTTGCTCTCCAAAGTAGTGCCTTGGTTGGAATGCAATCATGATGGGAGTCAGAAACGGGACACCCATATGTCGATAGCGAACGATTGTCACTTCATCCAGCTGCTGCAGAGACACAGCTTCACACCATTCAGTTAATTAATCAACCATCACCAGAGTGTATCGGTTATCCCTATTAGATTCTGCATTAGTTCCCTGACGTCTACTCTCTTTTCGTTGGTTCTGTACTTTTATTATTACGTGTACTAAAGGCGTTTGCTAGGGCTGCTTGACTTGGGCACATACCCTCCACTTGCGACAGGACTTAGAAAGTGAAGGTCGCCGAAATCGTTCAATTCCGGTTTTGTACTTGGTTAATCACTTCTTTTGATTTTACGTGTCGAACTAGAAGACAAAGAGACGAGGATGGCTTGAATATATATGGGATATCTTTCATCAGCCGTAATAGGTCCCATTTAGTACAAATGCATCACGTCATGGTGGATGAATCCTGTGACTTTCTATTCTACGGCTTGTCATCCTCATAGGGTTGGTGTAAGTAAACAGGCCATATCTCAACGCGAGCAACTTGCAGTGATGCCCAGTCAGCACCCATTCCTGCATTATGAATGGCAATCATGGTGAAAAATAAATTACGCAATCGAGAGAGAACATCTGCGACCGTACCCCGAGGTCGTGGCTGATACTCACATGTGAAGTTAAACTCTTACAAGTTCTCCTGCCAACAAACCACGTGGTTTTCTGATCTGTGACGTGCTCGGAACTACTGCGAAGCACGGTGTCCAGTGATTATTCGAAAGGGTCGCCCGGAATTGCCTAAGAAAATGGACTACATTAAACATTTCTCTTCTAGTGGCGGTACAACGTGTTTCACGTTTGTTCAAGTCTACAGCTGGCGACAGTCACGCAAGAAATGAAAACAGAACAAGAGCTCGGCAAGAATGTGTATTCAGTACAGTTCCAAAATTTGAACAGGCGGGGCAACGCCTCACAACCTATCAGTCTTCTTGCTCTCGTTAATATGAAGTTTCAGTAGTTGCTGATCATCCTGCTGACTAGACTTATTTGGCATACTGGCTAAAATCCCATTTGGCAAGTATTTCTTTGTGAATATTTCTTTACTAGAATTTTATGCTATGCTGTATCAGAATTGTCTCAAGAGTTTTTTGCTGTAACTAAGTAGAAAGTAACACTGCTTGGTGTTTCGTCAATACAGATTCCTGTGCTGTCGTATTTAACTGCGTGTTAGCCTTTGTTGATGTTTGGCTTCATATTTCTTGTTTCGGAAATTTCTCCAACCAAGTTAATTACCCTTCTTGTAAATACTCCATAGGGGAGACTTTGCAGCTTCAGGACGTCCGTTTAATTGTTTCACCCTGCTAAAGGATCTGGAACATAAAAAGCCTTGATAGTGGTAGTCGTTGCGCTGTTCTTATGACAGACAATACTATTCTGACGAAAAAGTTAGAGAATAGCAGATACCACCAATAAATGAATTGTACTGCGCATGAATTGGCCGTCCAAAGACACTCAGGAGCCGACAGGGGAGAGGAAGATGGTATTATAGAAGATAAACTGATGGAGGGACGGAGAATGAAAGAAGCAGCGGAACGTAGCGTCAGATATGCTGAATAAAGAATGAAAGAAAATTTTTGGGAAAGACAAAAAGCACTTCTATACAACATTCGTAAATGAAACGGAACAAACGGTAGGTAAGAGAAGCCTTGTAGCATTGTGTAGCAAAAATAGATCATTTTTCGAGAAGAGACGAATGCATACGACATCACAAAATGATAATGAAGAAACCTAGTTTCCAAGTAGGTTGAAAAAAGAACGCAGAGTTGATTTGTGCCATTTTCTGGATCCCGAATCGCTTGCGTAGAAATTCAAGCATTCTGGAAG